CCGGGCACAGCGCGCAACCCCGCAAGGCAGCTGGTCCCGGGCCGCGGCCACCGCTTCCAGCCTGCGGGGCCCGCCACGCACACGTGGTGCGACCTCTGTGGAGACTTCATCTGGGGCGTCGTGCGCAAGGGCCTGCAGTGCGCACGTGAGTAGCGGTCCCTTGCGCTGGCGAGAGCGAAACGGGTGGCCAAGGGGCAGCACCTTCGCTGTGGGCCAAGTTGCGACGGAGGGGGTTTGACAGGGACGGTCCCTGTGGACCAGGACAGTTATCTTTGCCCCATAGCAGAAGAGAGTTCGAGCAGATGGTTTATAAGCTTGTCAAGACCCCCCTGCGTTTGAGACATAGTTAGGCAGAGGCAGTTACCTGTGAATAACAAGGTGCTTAATTTCAAGTTTAAAGAGTGTGTTGGCCCTTCTTGAGAAAGTCTTTGTGCCACCCAGTCCCTGAGTTCGTATTCCCACACCTGCCCCTTCCCAAAGATTCACTCCCCAAGTCCCCCTCCAGAAACCCTGAGATGAAGGGAATTTACCCACCTATGGGAGAAGGCATGGAAAAGTTAGAACCTTGGGTGGGCCTACTGCAAGCAGTTTTGTTGCGTCTTCATTTAGTAAATACCTACTGTAGGTTCAGTCAACCAGGTGCTAAAAGATGAACACAGCCACTACCCTCCCAGGAATCACCAGCAAGCAGTAGTTGATCTTCCACTGGCTATACACCAGCTAGAATTACTTGGGATGCTTTTACAGCCCTCCAACTCCCCCATGCTTATACCCTAACTCACACCTGTTGAATCAATCACTGGGAGTGTATGAGTAATTTTTATAAACAGATTATTCTGTGCAGCCTGTGTTGAGAATCAATGCTCTGGTTAATTTAGGAACTTTATGGAGAACAGTAGCGATTTTTGCTGAGATAAGGAACTCTGGCAAGGGTAGGGGTGAGGAAAACTAAGTTTAAAAGGGTAAGAAAGTGAGTTAAATTTTGGCCATGTTGAGTTGAAATGTCTACTAGACATCCAAACGAAGATACTAATACACAGGATTTGATCTGAGGGAAGAGGTCAGTGATGAAAGCCTTGGATCAGGGGTAGGTCAGTGTACACAGAGCAGGGAGGCAATCAGGACTGAGCCTCAGAGACACCACCATTAGACGTGGAAGTTGAAACAGAACTAAAGGAGCTGAGCAGGAGCTGCAGGGAGGTGGGAGGAAGACCAGGGTAGAAGGGGCCCCCCAGGAACCAAGAGGAACAAGCATCAGATGATGCTGAGGAAGTGAAGATGGAGAAAGACCGGATTTGGCAGTGGGCAGGTCGCTGAGGACCCTGACCAGGGCAGTCTCCTGGAGGGAGGGGCAGGCCTGATTGGAATGGGTAGAGGGTGAAGGCGAGGGACTGAGAGGTAAGTTTCTGGTGTGAGAGGAGTAGAGACAAATAACAACTAGAGCGGGGCATTGGGTTACAAGGTTTTTTTTTCCCCTTCAAGTAAATGGGCGGAGGGAGGGGCGCTGATAAAGAGGAAGGGGAAAGTTCTGCCCTCGACTCCAGAAATCCAACTGTTTAGCAGGCTTGGATCCCTAACCGCCTGAAGCCTTCTCTCCAGTTTGCAGACGCCGGTGGCGGGGCGTGGGGGGGGTGTACCAACACTAAAATCTGTGTAGCGGTGGGCGGTAACGGGGCCTGAGATAAGACCGGTCATGCAGAGCACTACGGGCAATGGCCTTCACCCCTGGGCTATTCTGTCCCCGGGACGCTTTTCCGTTTCTTCCCCGCTGTCCCCGGGGTTCCTCCGCCTCACAGCCAGGCTTCTCCGCAGATTGCAAGTTCACCTGCCACTACCGTTGCCGCGCGCTCGTCTGCCTAGACTGCTGCGGGCCCCGGGACCTGGGATGGGAACCTGCGCTGGAGAGGGACACAAACGTGGTGAGCGCGGGACCTGGGAGCTTACGGGCAAGGCAGGGACGCGCAGACGAGCGGGCCACTTTGCAGGCGTTCCCTATGGCCGCTTGGCGTTACGCGCAATAAACGTTCTTATAGCCGACTTTCCCGCGACAGAGAATGGCTAATTCTGCGCGCGGGCTCGAAGGGGTGCTTGGGGTACTGACTGCGCGGACTGCCCAGAGCCACCCAGGCTCCGCGCAAGCGCAATTTTCGCACCTTATAACATCCTGTCTTGGGGCCACGGTGGTGCACATGCGCACACGTTGCGCCTTGTTCCCCGTGGGAGGTGGGGCCCGCGAGGCGGAGCCAAGCTGAGCTGCCTGAGCTATGAGATCATTCCTTGAGGCGAGACGTGCGTGTGGCCCCGCCCTTCGACATTCCTCCTCCAATGAGACAAGAGCTAGATCCTGGCTGTCTACATTTCAGTGTTAACGGTTGCGGCGCGGACACTGGTTCCGGCGTTCGCGCACACTTACACGCGCGCGCACGCGCATATGCGCCTGGGGCGGTGGTTGGAGGCTACGCGCGCGCGGGACTCGCGGAGCTGGCGGGCAGGCGGGCGCGGCGATGGGCGAGGCAGACGCGGGGACGCCTTCTTTCGAGATGACCTGGAGCAGCACAACAAGCAGTGGCTACTGCAGCCAGGAGGACTCCGACTCAGAGCTCGAGCAGTACTTCACCGCGCGTACCTCGCTGGCACGCAGGCCGCGCCGGGACCAGGTGGGGGCCGGGGATTGCGGGAGGCAGGCTAGGGGCGGTCGCTGGGACCCCGCCCCTCCCTGGTAAGTTTCGGCGTCGAGAGTTTGTAAGCAACCCCGCTCTCCCGTCAGCGTGGATCCTGGACCCAACCCGGGCCAGTCCTCGGAACCGTGTGTTGGGTTTTCAGCGCGTGGGTACTGGCTGCTGAGGCCTTTCAGTTTCTGTACAGACCGGCTGAACTAGGGGAAGCAGCTCAGTGGCTTGGGGTAGACCAGGGCATTATTCACCTATTACTAAGGCTGACTGCGCAGTCTGGAGTAACACCTTGATTTCCGCGTGTGGGTGCTCCCAGCCCCCACTCTGGGGGACCAGGAGGAAGTGGAGCGGGAGGAGTTCTAGCCCGGAATACAGAAGTGTGTTTAGGAGAGAGGCAAAGGAAGGTCCGGGCCCCTCCGTATGCACTCCTGAATGGAGCCAGCTGAGTCCTCACCTCTTGCCGGTCCTGGCCTGTCACCAGCTGCTGGAATGGAGAAGATTCTGATCCCGATTCCCCTGACCCCCACCCTGAGGGAAACTGGAATGCTGGCTTGGGCAACACATATACTAAAATTAGAGCGGACCTGGAGAAAGGGGATTTGGGAATGGATGGGAAGGAAGCCTTGTTTCGGACTGTAAGCATCCAGGAGCACTTTGTCTACAAGAGGTGGGGAAGGCTAGATTGTAAAATGCCCTGAGAGAGGTCAAGAGAGGGGTTACTAATGCAATACCATAAGGTATGGCACTAGAGCAGCTGTAGGTCTCAGAGTCTCCCAGGTGTCCCCATTATCAAAGACTTCTGTGCTGTGTGCCATGACTGTGACCACCAGGCTCAAATAACTGTTCTGGAGCTGGTACACCTCAGAGGAGCACCCTGGCCAGGGCATCAGGAAAAGGATGGGGACCATGATGTGAAGTTCAGTATATCTGGCAGCAGTGGGACAGAATTCCTTGCATAAGCCAAGAAAAGAGAGTTGTGGATAATTCTTCAGTGAAAATTTTATACCTCAAGATCTCACTCCAGAGTTTGGGTGCAAGGTTTGAATGTTGATCCCTGGAACTGTCTCTGTCACTCAGGCCTGAGCCATTTTCCATTGTGGAAAAGTGAGAAAACCACAAGACACTGACCAATTGAAAACGAGGCTGGGGAGTTCCAAGCTGTACATAAAAACCACCAGTCACTGGACAGTGGCAGAGTAGAGGGGGGTGACTGTAGTACAAGAGAAGGGAAATTCCATGGTCCCGTTGTGTATCCCTCTGGGACCGCTGTTGGAATCCTCCTCTAGCAGTCAGCTTTAGAAACAGAAAAAAACTTACTCCTCTAGAATCCTGACAGGATAGTGCAGTGTCTCCAGTCCAAGTCCCTTGTTTTATGAGTAAAGATACTGAGGAAGGTTGACCTGGAGAAGGAAGGGGCTGGAACTGAGGTCACTTCATCCCAGTTCAGGGCTCCTGGATAACCTGAACAGGGAAGAGGAAGGACCCAGGTAGAGCTTAGAGTCATCCTAGGGAAGGAGAATAAGTTAGTGCCATGCCTTTGATCACCCTGTTCTGTAAACAGAATTCTCTTCCTTCTTGCTCCAGCTCTAGTCTGCTCAGCTTTCCTCCTAGCACCCCTCCCATCTTGGCATTTCTTCCCGCGGGGTCACTCCTTCCTGTCCCTCTCCTTGGGCCTGAACAAATACATTTATCCTTTATTCCCAGCCTGCAGCCTTCGTTTTACCCCCCAGATTCCTCACTTTCCAGAGCCCACACCATTGTTCTTACTAGTCCTGCAGGATTTCCCTCTGTCTCCAACAAACTTTCTGCTGGAGTTTTCACTTCTCAGTGCTCTTTTCCGTCTAGGAGACCTTTGGAAGCTTGGGGAAGCACATAGGCTTCAATTTCCACCCCTTCCCCAGCCTCAATCCTCAGCACCACGCACTTGCTGGCTGCTGAGTAGCAGCAGGTTCAAGGTGAAGAGCATACTGCTAAAACGCTGTGGACTCTACCTGACCCTTCATCTGTCCTTCTTATTTGTCCCCATCAGATGGTTTAAGCTTAGGGGGCTCCAAGGTAGTAGTCAGGGAAAAGCCTGGCTGCCCTGGGCTGAGCTGAGCACAAGTTTAAGGTTATACTGCAGGAGACATTCTGGTGGGAACTCCCCTGGAACAAGGCATTGGTCAGTGGTGATCTCAGCTGTATCTGTGACATTCATACCTACTAGGATCTATCTGACGTCAACAGGAAGTAAGGCTGATGCAACAGGACCAAGGGAGTTTGGCAGAAGGAAGTTAATTCAGAGCCCTGGCTGCCCTGGGCCATACTCCACCCTTCCGACAAGAATCCAGTCCCTGGAGGAAAAGGAGAAGGGGTGAATGGTGGAGCTAAAATCTTTGGGTTACACCTCTAGACCGGGGATTGAGAGGGAGGGTATAGTTCAGTGGTAGAGCACATGGTTAGCATGCATGAGGTCCTGGGTTCAGTCCCCTATACCTCCTTAATTAAAATAAATAAATAAGCCTAATTACCCCCCCCCCAAAACAAAAAACAAACTAACTCTAGACAGCAGGGAAGAGTTCCAAAAGTCTACTTATTTGGCACTTGTGGGACAGGCTCTACCAGAAGGCTCTACCATGCACCTCGGGCAGTTTGGAGCCTGGCCTGAAGCTGTTTTTTATGCAACTTGGGTCAAGATCAAATGGCATGTCACAGTGGTTTCCTCGCTATGTCTGAGGAACACAGGGCTGGCCCCAGGTCTCCCATCAGGAGTGTTAACATTGCAGAGATTGCCCTTCCCCTCCTGCCCGCTAGTAGCTGGGTTCCTGGTGTGCACCACTACCCATACTTCTCACCCTGCAGTGGGCTATGGCCAAGGCAGAGTGGCAAAGTGCACTGCCTTCTCCAGGACACACCTTGACCCCACCTGACTTGCATGCTGGGATCAAGCTGTCCCTCAGATTCCTAGATCTTTTCCTGGTCCCTGGCCTCAAGCTTTGAGTTTCCTTGGTTTCAAGGTATCCTTAGGGCCTTCCCCAATGTTGAGGAGGATTCAGGCAGGCGGCAGAGAGAAGCCGAATGATTCTGCCTTGGCTGTGTCCACCCATAGCATGCAGAACCAGGAGCAGTAATGGATTCTTCTCATCAGGACTTGAACTTTGTTAACAGTTTCCAAAGGCTGCTCATAGGTGGTCCACCCAGGGCTCCCCTCCTTGCCTGTGACACACATTGCAGAGGAATGAATTCCTTAAGGGTCCTGTGTCCATGCTGGTCCATCTTTCAGGATGAGCCTGTGGAGTGGGAGACTCCTGACCTTTCTCAGGCTGAGATTGAGCAGAAGATCAAAGAGTACAATGGCCAGATCAACAGCAACCTGTTCATGAGCCTGGTGAGTTGATAGCTTGTTTTGGAGAGAGGCAGGAACCCAGCTGTGTGCCTGGCGTGCAAAGGGTCACAGCTGAGGTGTTCCTGTGTGGGCCCAAACAGTGATTTATTCACACCCAGCCTAGCCCTAAGTGGACTGGTAGTACTCAGATCTGTTCCATCGCACCTGGAACCTAGTCATGTTTCGGTTTCTCCTCTTTAGAACAAGGATGGCTCCTACACAGGCTTCATCAAGGTTCAACTGAAGCTGGTGCGCCCTGTCTCGGTTCCCTCCAGCAAGAAACCACCCTCCTTGCAGGATGCCCGGCGGGGCCCAGGGAGGGGCACAGCTGTGAAACGGCGCACTTCCTTCTACTTGCCCAAGGATGCTGTCAAGCACCTGCATGTGTTGTCACGCACGCGGGCACGCGAGGTCATCGAGGCCCTGCTGCGCAAATTCTTGGTGGTGGATGACCCCCGCAAGTTTGCACTCTTTGAGCGGGCTGAGCGCCATGGCCAAGGTGGGCACCCCCCTAGCCCCACCATCATGTGTGAGGGTATATATGCACGTGCCTGTGCGCTCAGGGGCCGAGGGACTGCGCCTGACTCTATCACACATTCCCTTCCCCCCTTCTGGCCCTCAGTGTACCTGCGGAAGCTGTCAGATGATGAGCAGCCCCTGCGGCTCCGGCTCCTTGCAGGACCCAGTGAGAAGGCCCTCAGCTTTGTTCTGAAGGAGAATGACTCTGGAGAGGTGAACGTGAGTACATGGCCCATCGTAGTTTCTTGGCAGGACTCGTGGGTGGCAGCTCTAGTAAGTTGTGAAGGAGGAATAGGGCTGAGGACAAGCCCCACAAAGCCTGTCCAAGAGTATGTGAGCCTTGTAGCTAAAGTGATGGCTTCCAGGACACTCATGCCAAGGTCTAGGGCTTGTCCCAAGAAGCCAGGAAGAATGTCTTGGTGCTCTGCTCTTTCCTAATGTAGAAAGTCCTCAGGAGATGCAGGAGTCCTTCTGATGGTGGTGATCCCAGGGCAGATCAAAGCCTCACAGATGGGCACAGGAAGACATGGAGGTGCCCCCTTCAGGCATTAGGACTTTTTACCTGGAAGCTTTACAGCTCCAAGGTAGTGCGTCTGCAGAGTGGGGTTAACCTCAGAGAGAGTGGGCATGACCTGTCCACAGGTAACTAGTAAATGTTTGGTTTGGTTGCCTCTCCATAAGTTGACCACCCTACTTTGTGTGGCCCATCTTCTATAGAATCATTGTTGGGAGTCCTAACAGAGACCATTCAGGCAAGAACCTGACATTAGAAAGCCCCATCTAGCTGTGTGACCATGATGTGCTGGTCTCTAGGGAGGGCCTGCTGGCTTGGCGGTGCCTGCTGTAGACTGTGTCTCCCCACTACCCCCTGCAGTGGGATGCTTTCAGCATGCCTGAACTACACAACTTCCTGCGCATCCTGCAGCGGGAAGAAGAGGAACACCTCCGCCAGATCCTGCAGAAGTACTCCTATTGCCGCCAGAAGATCCAAGAGGCCCTGCATGCCTGCCCCCTGGGGTGACCTCTTGTACCCCTGGGTGGAAGGAGGAAAGTAGGCAGCACCGAGGGCGTGCCGTGTGAGTGTGAGAAGGCCCATGTGGCCTGAGGAATGAGTGTGCATGGAGGCCCTCTCTTGCTGGGGGAACAAGCCCAGAGAACAGCGAAGGAGATGGCCCCCTGTGTCCACCAGTGGGTGTAGCAGAGCATGGCTCTGCACCCATCTGCGCTTCATGTACTGGGTCATGGTGGGCTAGGGTTGCCCTGGGACACTGCTCCAGGCTTGCAGCAGGAGTAGAACAGACAGAAGTCTCCTTAATTTGTGTCTCAGATATGAGAATTTTGGAGACCCTACCAACAGAATAGGGTCATGTTTGCAGGGATGAGGGCTCTCATCTATGGCGAAAGGTTGTGTGTTTTGGGTCTTGGATGAGGTCTGAGGACGAGCCAAGGTTGGGTGTGCAACATAAGGCAGGTATCGAGGAAGAGTCTAGGGTTCCCTCTGCAGCACCCTCTGACTCCTCACACACCCTGTGATCAGGGAGTGCTGGCTCATGGCGCAGCAGCAGTGCCTCAGTGCCTCCTCCAAGGAGGATGTCCCTGGGCCAGGGTCTGTGTGAGTGTGGGTACTGGCCCAGGTCTGTGCCTTGTTTGCCAGTCAAAGCCAGGGTCTTGCCCTTGGGTATTTTTGATGATGTGTGCGGATGTATGTAATATTTTGTGGCCTCAGCTGAATGCCTCCTGTGGGGAAGGGGGTAGGGGTGACAGTCATCAGGGCCTGGGGCCTGAGAGAATTGGCTGAATAAAGATTTAAGAATTCTTCCGCTTTTGGATTCTTTATTATGGGCCCTTATCTGCAGTTGCCCCTCATGCCAGTGGCTGCCAAGATTAATGGACAGGCTCACAGATCACCTTTTCAAGTGGGCCCACGGGACCAATTTGTGAAGGATGTAGTGTACAGATATGTACTGAGTCATCACTCAACACCTGCGGGCTCAGGTCATGATGGGGGCAAGAACATGAGCCGCAGCCAGAGCTTAGGGAAACCACACACTCGAAGCTGTGGGAGACGCTTCACCAAATAGAGATACTACTGTGACTCAGACACTGCCAAAGGTACAGACGTTAATTCCTGCCTTCATGAAGAGTGGCTTCTGGTGGGTTTGGAAAGAACACTGAATTTGAAGTTCCTCAGTCCTGAACGTAGCTATACAACCATTGGCCGATTCCTTAATTCTCCTTACGTTCGGTTTCTTTTCCACTCGCAAAAACGGTGTTTGGGTAGAATGAAGCCAGACGGGCACTGAGCTGCCTGGCCTGAGGTCAGGCCCTAAAGTGCTGATTTGGTGGCTGGGCAGGCCATCTGGACCTGACCACTAAGGATTGGGGACGTCGGATCTGCAATACACGCGGAAGGAGCCAGGAGGAGGGTACAGCCACCGCCTTCCTGGGTGGGAGCCGCTCCAGCCGGACAGAGCGTGGCCTGCTGGGACCTGACGTCTCTCAGGGCATGCTGGGATGCCTAGCATCTGAGGGCGGCTATTGGTTCAGCCCCGCAGACCGACAAGAGGAGCAGCCAGTCAGAGGGGCAGCGTGCGGAGCGTTTGGAAGCGGAAGTGAGGTTTCCGTGGAGACAGCAGAGCCTGCGGAAGGCGGCGGCGGCGGCACCTCAGAGCTGAGGCCCAGGCAGGGCATGGCGGCGCCGACGGCCCTGTGAGAGCGAAGCGGCCGCGGGGCTCACCATGCGCCGGCGACCCTGACATGGGCGCCAGCGGCTCCAAAGCTCGGGGGCTGTGGCCCTTCGCCTCGGCGGCGGGAGGCGGTGGCCCAGAGGCGGTGGTCGCTGAGCAAGCTTTGGTGCGACCGCGAGGCCGAGTCGTGCCCCCCTTCGTATTCACGCGCCGCGGGTAAGGCGCGGGATTCCGCCCCGGGGAGGACAGACTGGGTGGCTGGGCGCCCCTCGTCATGGGGAACTCCCGCCCCTCTACCCCTACACCCGAGTCAGGACGACTCCCATATTTCAGGCCCTCTTAGGAACAAAGGACGGGGAAAGGCGGGCAGTCGGTTCCTGGCGGCCTGGCTGCTGTCAAGGTCTTCCTAGGATTAAGAATGGGCCTGAGGCTTGTCCCTGGGCAGGCCCTTCGCACTGTGAAGCTAAGATTGGGCCTCCCTGAGACTTAAGGACCTCCTCCTTTTATCCCTTCCACCCAGCCTGCAAGCTGAAGGCTCCTATTCTCCCTCACCCCCAATTCTTCCTAGAGGAGAATGACCCTCTGTTTTGGTTCCCCACAGTGGTGGGGTTGGACCCTCTCTGGGTAGTGGCCGGGAAAGCAGGACTAGGCCCTAGTTTGGAGATGGGACCTGGGGAAAAAGACCCTCACCCAGGTATGTTTCCTAGATCTGGAGCGCTGACCTCCCCGCTCCCCCAAGGGGCCCAGACCATAGCACTAGATTGGCCTGACTCTGATGGGCCCCTGAGGACTGGCACAGGTGATGCTGGAGATTTTGCTGTAGATACTAGGGAGACCCATCAGTGGCAGTTTGGCTGCACCATCCACCTTGGCCAGGGAGGATGCAGCCTTTTCCCCTGTAAGCTCCCTCCTAGCCTAGGCATCTGCTATCTCAGGCTTTGGCCGTGGGCCAACAGTGTCTTCTGGAGTGAGACCAACATGCCCAGGCCTCCATCCTGCCTACTCTAGAACTTCCAGGTGAAGTCCAGGGCCTGATGTCTTCTTGCTGAACAAACCAGTGATGTTTCGGTATGGCTGCTCTTCTTAGGGTCTGACAGAGTAGCACTGGCCACCACCCACTCCCCACTTCCTTCTAGTAGACCCCAGACCCTAAGCAAGGGATTCTCCAAGCATATTATCCTCCCTTCCTCACACCAAGGTTGTTTCTCCCCATTTGGGAAGGGCACACTTCCCTGTGTTCTGTGGCATTTGTCATGACCAGGTGTGGGGTTCCAGCGCAGCCTGTTCCCCTCTCCCTCTACACAGCTCCATGTTCTATGACGAGGATGGGGATCTGGCTCACGAGTTCTATGAGGAGACAATCGTCACCAAGAACGGGCAGAAGCGGGCCAAGCTGAGGCGGGTGCATAAGAACCTGATTCCTCAGGTGAGGGGCTGGGCAGTGGTCATAGAGCCTATGTTGAGTGTGTAGAGGTAGACCCAGATGGGGTCTGCTGTCATGGTGGGGGCTCTTGGGGGAGGAGCTGGGAGGAACAGGAAGGCTTCCTGGAGTAGGGCCCCTGAGCTGGCCCTCACTAGCCTCTGTTTCCATGGCAGGGCATCGTGAAGCTGGATCCCCCCCGCATCCACGTGGATTTCCCTGTGATCCTCTATGAGGTGTAAGCCTGGGGAGTGGCAGGCATAAACACCCCCTGCCTCAGCAAGAAACACCCAGGCTCAAGGTGTGGCTTCCATTGAGGAACCTAGGCTGGGGCCACAAACCTGAATAG